TAGGTGCTATTCTGAGGAAAGTGCTAAAGGCGACATCCTGTAAATGCCTACAGTGCTGCAGTGAATAAAAACTCCTCACCAAGAGGGCTTGCATTTGGCCCCAAGAAGGAGTCAGTGGCTCAATGACCAGGACTAAGAGGTACGCAGTGTGCACCTTGCACCTCTGTCAGAAATCAGTTGACCATATGTTTGTAGATCCATTTCTGGACCTTTATTCTGTTCTATCATGTTATATCTTTTTATCTTTACTGACCTCTACTGATCACGATAACTTGATAGTACAATTTAAAAGCAGGTTAGGTCCTTCAACTTTGTACTTCTTAAAATTATCCTGATTATTCTAGAATCTTAACTTTTTCATACCCATTTTAGAGTCAATTTTACAAAAACACCTGCTAGAATAATGATTGGGAATGCATTAAATCTATAGATTAATTTGGGAAGAAGGGGTATAATGGCATCTTAACATTGAGTCTTCCACTCCATGAGCATGGAATATCTTTTCATTTATTTTTAGCCATTTTTTTATTGGCTTTACTGTGCCTCTGAGTTTTTTTTCTTTTTCTTTTGTCTTACTAGAGGCCCAGTGCACAAATATTTGTCACTGGGGGTGGGGCGGTGTCCCTCAGTCCAGCCTGCACCCTCTTGCAGTCCGGGAATCCTTGGGGGATGTCCGCCTGCCAGTTTAGGCCCAATCCAAGCCAGCAGTCAGACATCCCTCTCGCAGTCTGGGGCTCTTGCAGTCCAGGACCCCTCACTCCTTACCACCCACCTTCAGCAGGGCTCACAAGCCACTGGGCTCACAAGCCGTGGCCTGGCTTCTGGCTGAGTGGCACTCCCCCTGTGGGAGCACACTGACCACCAGGGGGCAGCTCCTGTGTTGAGTGTCTATGTTGGTCAGTGTGCTACTGGTTGTTCCACCATTCGGTTGATTTGCATTTTATGCTTTTATTATATAGGATAGGATTTCAAAGCCAGGACTATCAGAGCAGAGGTCCTTTTGAATAGAAGTGGTGAAAGCAGGCAGCCTTGCTTTGATCTCATGAGAAAACAATTTTGTCTTTCACCATTAAGTATGATGTTAGTGGTTGAATATTTTTTTATTCTCACTTGAGGATATGCTTATTGATTTTAGAGAGAGAGGAAAGGAGGGAGAAAGAGAGAAACATTGAACGGTCGCCTCCCGTACGCACCCCAGCCAGGGATAGAACCCGCAACCTAGATATGTGCCCTGACCTGGAATCAAAGCTGCACCTTAAATCTATTGGTGTGTAGAGTGACACTCCAACCACTTGAGCCACCCACCTACAGCAATGGTTGAATTTTTTTATAGATGTCCTTTGTCAGGTTGATGAAGTTCCTTAATATTTCTAGTTTGCTCAGCATTTTTCATTAACAGATATTGAATGTTGTCAAATGCCTCTTCTCTATCAATTGTAATGATCATAGGGCTTTCCCCCCTATATTCTGTTTATCTGGTGAATGAATTACATTGATTAATTTTCAAATGTTAAACCAACCTGCATTATTAAGCTAAACCATACTAGGTCATGATGTGCTATCTTTTTTACATCATTGTATTTTATTTGTTAATATTTTGTTAAAAAATATTTGACTGTCTTCATGAGGGTATTTTTCTGTAATTTCTTTGATAATTTCTCTGTCAGGTTTTGTATTATAGTTCTTCTGGCCTCATAAAATGAGTTAGGCAATTACCCTCCTCTTTTTAAAATGTTTGGATACTATTGTTGTTATTTCCACTTACTTTAAGTGTGTTTTCCTTTATTTCAGGAAGCATTAATAGCTACTTTATATCTGATATCATAATGTTGGCATTTGTTGATTGTTTTTCTCTTAAGAATTTATCACATTTTTCTTGTTCTTTGTGTGTTTAGCAATTTTGAATTGTGCCCTTGATGTTATGAATATTATATTGTTTAGGCTCTAAGTTCCTGTTATATTCCTCTGGATATTGTTGATATTTTTGCTTCAGCAGACAATCAACCTAGTTATATTCAGTTAATTGCTCAAGGTACTGCTGATGTTACAAGGCCAGTTATATAAATTAGACTTTAATTTTTTGGATGTTTTTAGTCCTGTTGATAGAGATGCACTCCAAAGATAAATATGTAAAATCATCTCAGTTGAAAGAGAAACTAGTTGTTGATTGTTCCTCAGTTGGGAAAAAAGTATTAAAAAGGACAAAGTATAGAATAGACAATCTGTCTTCAGCAGGGATCACTCCTAGGATAAGATGGTGTGTATATATTCATTCAGAAAATATTTATTAAGCACCTACAATGTGTCAAGTACTATTCTGAGCACTGGGAAGACAGTTCTAAAGAGCACCATTGGATCCTATCCCCATCACCTTTTACTTTCTCAAGGGCTTTATACCTGCAGTTGTCACCTTTTCCTTCTGCATTAGTTTTACCTCTGTACAATACTATTTCCATCTATATATGCATGTAATAGCCCCCTATTAGGGGGGAAAACTCCTTTGACCTGAAACCCCCTTTTAGTTACTTCTCTATTCTCTTTTATAGCAAATGTATTTAAGAGTATCTAAACTCAGTATTTTCTCATTCTCTTTGAACACACTCCAATCATGCTTTTGCGTTCACCACTCGACTGAAGTTGCTATTGTCAGTGTCTCATTAAAAATCCATGTTGCCAAATCCAGTGGCCAATTCATAGCCCTAATTTTTCTTCTCAGTAGTAGTTGATAGAGTTGATTGCTGTTCCTTCTTGTAAAGCTTTCCTCACTTGGCTTCTAGGACACCAACCTCTCTCTTGATTTCCCTTCTGCCTCACTTGCTGCTCCTTCTCAGTCTCCTTTCTTCAATCCTTCTCTAAATGATCGAGTATTCGAGGGCTTAGTCCTTAAACACCTTTTTATTCTCTATGCTCACTTTCCAGGTCAGTAGTTCTCAACCTTCCTAATGCCACGACCCTTTACTACAGTTCCTCATCTTGTGGTGACCCCCAATTTCATGGTTACAAATTGAACATAATTAAAGCATAGTGATTAATCACAAAAACAACATGTAATTATGTATGTGTTTTCCGATGGTCTTAGGCGACCCCTGTGAAAGCATCGTTCGACCCCCAAAGGGGTCGCGATCCACAGGTTGAGAACCACTGCTCTAGGTGAAAGCATTCTCCAATCCATAGCTTCAAATACCATATAAAAGCTAACAACTCTTAGACCTCTCTTTTGAACTCCATACTAATAATACCCAACTACCTACTTAACATCTCCACTTGGATATCTAATAGACATCACAAACTCAACAAGTCCAAAACCACCCTCCCCAATATTGGATTTGTTTTTACTACATATGGTAACATACATACCCCCAAAAAGAAAAAAAGCAGGGAAAAAAAAAGCTAAGAAACAAAAATTGCTTGAATGACATAGAAATTTCTTTCATGCACTAGCAAAACAAAAACACTCTAGAGATACAGAGATAGACAATCTAGAATATGTATGGCAGTCATACTCATCGGGGAACCTGGCTCCACGTCTCTTGATGTTTTTCCAACTTTGGTGTGCTTCCTCTTTGTGTTAGCATGAGGGATAAATGTAAAAGTATTTCCTCTTTCTTTTAAAGAAACTTCCTAGAAATTCTAAACAACTCTTTTGCTTATATCTCATTGGCCAGAACTTAGATTATGGCCACATCTAGTTGTGGGAGCTATAGGAGAGGTTGGGAAATATGGATAGCATTATACTCAGTTAAAATCCAGATTATTTTACTGAAGGGTAGTAAATGGACATTAGGAGGCAACTGGCTATGTCTGCTACACTAGGTCCTCCTGTAGTCTTCCCAGTTGGAATAAATGCCAGCTCCATTCTTCCCGTTGTTTAGGTCAAAATATCTTAGGGTCATCATGACTCTTTTTCTGTCCTACTCCATATCTAATCTACCAGAAAATCCTATTGGTTGTACTTTCAAAATATATCCTGAATCTGACAGCTTCTGACCAACTCCACCACTTTCATCTTAGTGTAGGCTAACACTGTCTCCTAACTGAGCTCTCGGGTTCTGCCAGTCACTTCTGCACATAGTAGCAGTCTGTGTATATTTGAATTTAATTATTGAATGTTTTCCCCACTAAAATTAGAGTAAGGACTTGGTCTGTTTTGTTCACTATTGTCTTCCCTGTCAGACAAGCATGGTCAGGACAGATGTCTCTGAGGAGAGGGCATTTGAGCTAAGAATGAAAGGAAGCCAGTTATGCAAAAGTCTAAGATTGCACTCCAGGCAAAGGGAAGGGCCCTCCAGTGGAATTAAGCTTGTCATGTTTTTTTTTTTTGGGGGGGGGGGGGCGGCAATGGGCAATAAGGTCAGTATGTCTAGAATATAGCAAATTATGGAAAGAGTGGGACAAGAAGTGGGAGAGAGAGACAGGGCCAAGTCATCACGTAGTTTTGTCTGACCCAGATGCAACAGAAAAAGTATTGGGAAACTCTAGATTACTCCGCAGATTACTACTCAGTAACTACTAGGAGCACTCAGCTACTTAAAATTTAATACACTAAAAGTAAACAAAACATTCAGTTTCTCAATCACATTAGCCACATGTGGGTAATGGCTACCTACTAAATAGCACAGCACAGATGGAGAACTTGCCACCCTCACAGAAAGTTCTGTTGGATAGTGCTGCTCTAGGAAAGCAATCAAAGGAGAAATAATGTCAAGTTTGGTTGGCCTCTCCTTTGTGATTTTCTCTTAACCCTAGAATCAGTTTTCCTATTTAAAATGAAATGGATGTGGTGCCTAGAAAATTAGCATGTGGACTGTTCCATATGCAAATGTTGGCATGGAGGATTTTCACCTGTGACAGAAAAGATGGGAGAGACTGGTAAATCACAGCATCCTTAGCCTCATTATAAATACATTGCAAATGTAAAAAATGCAAAGTGCAGAAGTCATAAATGTGAAAGTGTCTTTCAATTTGTTTTAATAAGGGTGTTTTCTGTGTTTGTAACCTAGGGATCTTGCTGCAAGAAACTGCCTGGTAAGTGAAAATAATGTTCTGAAAATCAGTGACTTTGGAATGTCTCGCCAAGAGGATGGGGGAGTGTATTCATCTTCTGGCTTAAAGCAGATTCCCATTAAATGGACAGCACCAGAAGCTCTTAATTATGGTAAGATTGGACTCTTTCCTTTTGGTGGTAAAAAAATAAAAGGGGGGGGGAGGCTCCATCAGAAAAAAACATTCACAAGCAAAGTTAGAGGGGTACTACAGAGCACAAGTTAGAATGAGGTATAGAATGTTCATACTTTGCACTTAAACATGAGCACCAACTTAATTCATTGACCTTTTTGATCAGATTTTTATATGTAAGATTGCTAGATTTAAAAGATGGATACACTTACAAGCATTATCTGAGAAATGATTTTTAAAAAATTTTAAATTTATTGGGGTAACATTGGTTAACAAGATTATACAAGTTTCAAGTGTACAATTTTATATTACATCATCTATATATTGCATTGTGTGTTCACTATCCAAAGTCGTCTCCTTCCAATACCACACATTTGACCCCCTTCCCCCTCTCGTAACTGCCATACTGTTGTCTGTGTCTATGAATTTGTTTTACTTGTTCCTTCCTCTTTTCTGTCCCACATATGAGTGAAGTCATGTGGTTCTTGTTCCTTTCCATCTGACTTATTTCACTTTAGCATCATACTCTCAAGACCCATTTATATTGTTGCAAAGGCTTTTTCCGGTTGAGTAGTCTTCCACTGTATAAATGTACTACATCTTATTTCTCTAATCATCCATCAAAGGACACTTAAGTTGTTTTCATGTCTTGGCTTCTGTGAACGTATATCTTTACAAATAAATGTAGATACCCATAAGAGGGACTGTTGGGTCATATGCTAGCTTTATTAATTTTTTAAGGAACCTTTATACTGTTTTCCATAGAGGCTGTACCAGTATACACTCCCACCAGTAGTGAATGAGAGCTCCCTTTTCTCTACAGCCTCTCCAACATTTGTTATTGCTTGTCGTGTTGATAATAACCATTCTAACAGGCGTGAGGTGGTATCTTATGGTGGCTTTGATTTGCACTTTCCTATAGCTAGTGAATTCAAACATCTGTATATACACTGAGTGGCCAGATTATTATGACCACCTGATGTTTGTAGGCAAATTAGCTATAATTTTGCACTGAAATTGCTAGAGGGCCAGACCATTATAAATAGGGAAGCAGGTTGTTTACCACAACAGTAGAAGTGATTTTTTTCTGAAGAAATGGGTAAACCATGCGATTTAACAGCCTTTGAACATGGGATACACACACACGCACACACACACACACACACACTGAGTGGCCAGATTATTATGACCACCCCATCAGTACTTCGTTGGGCCACCTTTTGCCTTCAATACTGTGGCGATTCTTCTTGGCATTGACTCCACAAGATGTTAAAAGGTGATGCGAGGAATCTAACACCATGCCTGATGAATAGCACTGTCCAGTTCTGTGAGATTTGATGGTTGTGGAACCAGCTGCCTGATGGCTCTTTTAACTTCATCCCACAAATGCTCAATTGGATTGAGATCTGGTGATTGTGGGGGCCACCTAAGCAAGGTAAAGTCTCCCTCATGTTCTTGAAACCAGTCCTGCACAATATGAGCACCGTGGCATGGCGCATTGTCTTGTTGGAAGAAGGCACCTCCATTGGGATACGCCATCAACATGATAGGATGAACTTGATCAGCAACAATACTTAGGTATGTTGTGCTATTCAGACATTGTTCCACACGAATTAAAGGGCTCAAATCATGCCAGGAAAACATGCCCCAAGCCATAACACTGCCCCCAACAGCTTGAAGGGTTGTACTCATGCATGTGGGGTGCATGCTTTCATGCTCTTTCCGCCAAATTCTCACTCTGCCATCTGCATGATGCAACTGGAAACGTGATTCATCGGACCACATGACTTTTTTCCAATGCTCGACTGTCCAATCCTTGTGTTCCTGTGTGAATTGGAGACGTTTTATCTTGGTAACTGCAGACAGCAAAGGGGTTCGCTTAGGCTTTCGGCTGTTTTGCTGATACTCGCTCCATGGCTCCGAGCACCAATAATCACCCCACGTTCAAAGGCTGTTAAATCTCGTTGTTTACCCATATCTTCAGAAAAAAAATCACTTCTACTGTCGTGGTAAACAACCTGCTTCCCTATTTATAATGGTCTGGCCCTCTAGCAACTTCAGCGTGAAATTATAGCTAATTTGCCTAAAACGTCAGGTGGTCATAATAATCTGGCCACTCAGTGTATCTGTTGGCCATTTGTATGTCTTCTTCAGGTCCTCTGCCCATTTATAAATTGAAGTGTTTTGTTGTTCAGTTCTTTATATATTTTGGATATTAGCCTCTTATCAGCAGTAGTGTTTGCAAATATATATTCCTATATAGTTGTTTGCCTTTTTGTTTTGTTGATGGTTTCTTTAGTTGTGCAGAAGAATGTAGTCCCATTCATTTATTTTTACTTTAACTTCCTTTGCCTTTGGGGTCAAGTTCACAAAAACCTCTCTGAGACTAAGATCCATAGTTTAGTTCTTATGTTTTCTTCTATGTATTTTATTGTATATAAGTTTTTAATCTATTTTGAGGGGAGAGACCAAGAGATTTTCTCACTCTGCCATGATGCTGATGTCACTACCAGATTTTCATTTTAAGAGTTAAATTATACACAGAGTAAAAGTATTGCTGTGGCTTTGGCCCATTTCTTTTGAATTTCTTATAACTTCATCTAATGTTAGGTTCCTAAAATATTAAGCCAATCAATCCTGTAGTTTCTCACTCTGAAAACTGACATGGTTTCTTAGTATCTCAGTCTCTGGAACTTGTATAAATCTTGTGGAAAGAGATGGGAATTGCATTTTAAAGCAGCGGGGATTTTTTTAACTTGAATTTTTTATGTGTCATTGTAATTGGATATAAATACAGCTTGCATTATCTGTGGTTGGGATGAAATGGGCCATAACAATATGGGTAACAGCTCAAGAGTTTTGAAAGAAAAAGATTATGCTTTGAGTGAAATTATAAATTGCATTTTCAGTAAGGGAAGCAGCATAAAAGCCATGGGTTGGTGAATGGGTGTAGTGTGGTTTGAATTAAGATAGCATAAAATGATTTTTTTGTTGATTTAAAATGAGGAATTACTTCATGAAAAATAAGGCATTTATAAATGTCTTTAATTTAGGCATTAGATTCAGACAAATAAACCTTTTTATAAAATGCATGTAACAAAATTAACCATTTTAAAGTGAATAATTCAGTGGCATTTAGTACAATTCACAATGTTGTGCAACCCCTACCTCCATCTAGTTCCAAAATAAAACTCTTTACCCAGTACGAAGTTACTCCCCATTATTCTCTCTCCTCAGCCACTGACAACCACATACTTGCTTTTTCATGCTGTGGATTTACCTATTCTGCATATTTCATAGAAATTGAATCATACAATATGTGGCTTTTTTCACGTAGCATAATGTTTTCAAGGTTCATCCATGTTGCAGACTGTATTATTCCTTTTCATGGCTGGTTAATATTCCACTTTATGTATTTACCACAGTTTATCTATTCATCCATTGATGTATTTTTCAACAGTTTTGACATTTGTGAATAGCATCCCTATGAACATCTGTGTACATGGATTTGAGTTCCTGTTTTCAATTATTCTAAGTAAACACTAGGAAGCATATGGTAATTCTATGTTTAACTTTCTGAGGAACCGACAGATGTTTTCCAGATAAAGCTGTGGAATGTAATTCGTTTGGGACTTAGTTGGGGCAGAAACGAGAACCTCATATTTTGTATACCACGGATACTATGGGATAGACACATGTAGGTAGTTGCCATTATGAGAAGTTGACGTTCTACAGATAGTGAGCCTCACCCTTAGTTTGTCTTCCCAGGTGCTATCAAGAGAAGCTTTTGTGAGCTTCCTAGTGATCCGAAACTAAATCCATTATGCCTCATATCTAGAGAATATCTAGAGAAAGCAGCAGCTCTGTTATTTTCTATCATGGTTCTTCTCTGGGGTGGTGGTTGTTATTACGCTAAGGCAGGGGTCCTCAAACTACGGCCCGTGGGCCACATGCAAATATTGTATTTGTTCCCGTTTTGTTTTTTTACTTCAAAATAAGATATGTGCAGTGTGCATAGGAATTTGTTCATAGTTTTTTTTTTAAAACTATAGTCTGGCCCTCCCAACGGTCTGAGGGACAGTGAACTGGCCCCTGTTTAAAAAGTCTGAGGACCCCTGCTCTAAGGAGATCAATCACAGGATAAAAGATAGGATTGTAACCCCTGTATTTACACAGAGGCTTTCTTTGGATAACAAGACATCGCTAAGCCCCTTCTTATTCATTCTTATAGCATCCCTATAAGTGAGCTTAGGATATCCTAAAGGCTTACCAGTAAAATCCAGATCTCTAGAATTTGTTCTTACACCTATTTTCTAGATCTTCTACATTATATTGCCTTTACAACTCCTCTTGTAAGCAGTTATGCTAAGTAAAATTCTGCCTTTCAATAAAAGTGTATTTTAGTTGAATTTCAAGCTGATGACAGTATTTACAAATCACAATTCTAATTCCAGATATCTCTTAACAGCCAGGCTTCAAGCATTATATTTTTAAGTATTTAAAAAAATATTAGTTATATTAGTTTCAGGTATAAAATACAGTGATTGGACATTTTTATACTTTACAGTGTGATCACATTATTAATGACTCTGTTCCCCTTTACCCTACTCCCTCCCTTCTGATAGCCATCAGTTGGATCTCTATTTCTACGTCTGTTTTTGTTTGGTGTATTTTTTTAGATTCCACATATAAGTGAAACCATACAGTATTTGTCTTTCTCTTTCTCTGACTTATTTCACATATCATAATACTCTCTACGTCAGTGATGGCAAACCTATCATTTTTTTGGTTGATTTTTCTTTGTTAAACGGCATTTAAATATATAAAATAAATATCAAAAATATAAGTTTTTGTTTTACTATGGTTGCAAATGTCAAAAAATTTCTATATGTGACACGCCGAGCTCAAAAGGTTCGCCATCACTGCTCTAGGTCCATCCATGTTTTGAAAATGGCAAGATTTCATTCTTTTTAATGCAGTGTAATACTCCAGTGCATATATTCATGTCTTCTTTACCCATCCATCTGATGGACATCTTGATTGCTTCTGTATCTTTGATATTATAAGTAATGTTGCAGTGAACATATGGATGCGTGTCTTTTCATCTCCTCTGCCCATTTTTTATCATATTGGTTATATTTTTTGTTATTGAGTTATGAGGTTTCTTATATAATTTGATTATCAAATCCTTATCTATCATTTGCAAATATAACCTTCCATTCAGTAGATTGTCTTTGTTTTGTTGGTTTCCTTTTGCTGTACAGAAGCTTTTTAGTTGAATGAAGTTCTGTTTATTTTTGCTTTTGTTTCCTTGCTCAAGGGCTATATCCAAAAAGACATTATGCAGACTGATGTCAGAAATTTACTATGTTTTCTTCTACAAGTTTTATGGTTCAGGTCTTACACTTAAATCTTTAGTACATTTTGAGTTTATTTTTGTATATGGTGTAAGAGAGTGGTCTGGTGTTTGTAATACCACTTGCTGAATAGACTATCATTACTTCATTATCATAGACTAGTTGGTTATATAATATGGTAACCTACTACATGGGAGAAAATATTTGCAAATTATATATCTGCTAATGAGTTAATATCCAAAATATATAAAGAACTCATACAACCCAACAGCAAAAACAAAAATATTGATCAAAAAATGGGCAGGAGGTCTGAATTCACATTTTCCTAAAGAAAACATAGAGGTAACCAACAGGTACATGAAGAGATTCTCAATGTTGCTAATCATCAGGGAAATGAAATTAAAGCCACAATTAAATATTACCTCATATCTGTTATAATGACTATTATAAAAAAAGACAAGATATAACAAATGTTGGTGAAGATGTGGAGAAAAGAGAGCCCTTGTGCACTTTTGGTGGGCTTGTAAATTGGTGCAGCCACAAAGTAAAACAGTATGGAGGTTTGTCGAAAAATTAAAGAAAAGCAGTACTATATAATCCAGCTATTTCACTTCTGGGTGTATATCTAAGGAAATAAAATCATTATTTGAAAGAGATGTAGTCACTTCCCATGTTCATTGTAGCATTATTTACAATAGCCAAGATACTGAAACAACCTTAGTGCTCATCAATACATGAATGAATAAAGAAAATGTAAAAATGTACAATAGGATACTTTTCAGTTACTAAAAGGAGTGAAATCTTGCCATTTGTGGCAACATGGATGAATCTTGAGTGCCTAAATCAGATAGAAAAGTACATATACACACCAAAAAACACAAGTTCATAGATACAGAGAATAGATGGGTATTAACTATAGGTGGGTTTCAGGATGTGTGAAATGGATAGAGTGGGTCAAGGGGATGTTATGTCCAGCATGGTGACTATAGTTAATATATATGGGTTGCATATCTGAAAGTTCCTAAGAGAATAGATCTAAAAATATAACTATGTGTGATGACAGATGTTTACTAGATTTATTGTGTTGATCATTTTGCAAATTTTGAATCATTATGCTGTACTCCTGAAACTATTATAAATCAACTCTACCTCAATAACATAAATATGTAAATAAATTTTAAAAATCCTTCAAAGGTCAAGGTTATAGAGTTATAAGATGGAGTGTTGGTTTATATAAAATATGCCTTTCTAGATATTTGTCCAGATATTATCTTACAAAAAGAAGGTATTGACTCTGTATTCCTTGTACTTTCTTGGACGAATCAATTAGTCTTAACTGTAGCCATTGAATGACTTTCATAAAAGGTATTAAATTATTGGATGCCAAACATGCAGACAAGAAAATGAATCTTCCTGCTAAATATCATAGTGAATGTCCATACTTAGTCTACTAAGAAGGAAGCTAATGTACACAGCTGGAGATGATAATCAGTAAGCATACTCCAAGCTCTGCCTTTGGAGAAATTGCCATAATGTAGGCTTACTCTGGTTCTCATTTTATTTTTTTCAAGAAAGTGAAAAGACCATCCTACTTTAAAGAAACTGGATGATTTTAGAGGGGCATTTATAAATCTTGGAATGGAAAGGTTAAGGCGAATAGCTACAAGAAAGTAGAAATGAAATGATTTCATAATTCCTGTAACACTGCTGCAAATGAGGATTAGTTTGAATAGTTTATGCCCTATATGAAAAAAAAAAATGTTGGGAAAATCTAGGAAATTCTTACCTCTTGGATATTGGAAAGAATTTTTCTGCTTTGTCTCCTTGACTTCACATCCATCTCCAGAATGTATTTGGTGTTGGCTTTTATTTCTGCTTCTCTGGAAGATTATTATTAAAAAAAAAAAAAAAAAAAAAGAATCCTATGAGCTTAGCTTATGTAGCCTAGTAAAACCGGTGCATCAGGACTTCAACAAAACAAGGCACCATGTACTTTAAAGAAGTTGTTTCTATCAGCCAGCTCTGTTAATTTGTACTCTATTCAAAACACACACACAAATATATTTTCCATAAATGAAACTTGTCAGTGAGAAAAACAAGACCTTTAAGCAAGTAAGAATATCTGTAAACAGTGATGAGTAAACAATTTAAGAAACTTTTCCTTATTGCTTTAACTTTGTAATCTTGGTAGAATGAAAATGATGCAGGCAGAAGACAAAATTGCAGAAATCCAACTTACTTAATCTCCTAGGCATTGATGTGTACAAACATATCTTTTTTATATAAACCATCCATCTCAGTTAGGTACCACAGGGAAAGCAAGCTTGCACGCTGGCTGAGTATTTGTTCTTGTGGGGGTGGAGGGGGGGATGTGATTTGGAAGGTGTTCATTTTTGGGAGAGTAAACTCGTGCAGAGAATAGGATCACTGGTTTTAGAGTTCCTTTGGTAAGTTTAAATATATTAATATGTGATGACATAGAAGTGCATCCCCGGAAATGGTCACCTACTCATCCACTCACCTGGCTGTGGTTCTGTGTGCCCTCTAGGGAGGTACAGTTCTGAGAGTGATGTGTGGAGCTTTGGCATCCTCCTCTGGGAGACCTTCAGCTTAGGGGTCTGCCCGTACCCTGGAATGACAAACCAACAAGCACGTGAGCAGGTGGAAAGAGGTGAGCCAAAGGCAGAGGTGTTTGTAAATCTGCTTCTGAACCCCATGGATCGCGTGGCTCTTATACAACAAAAAACCTTTTTAGCTTTGAAAATAGAGAGCTCCAGCTTTTCTCCCACTCCCCCTGCCTGGCCTGACATCTGCAAGGCACACCATTCAGTCTCATCAGGGGAAATCGGAGAGTGTTCCTCAAGCTCCTGTTTTTTTATTCCATGTGAAATAAACACCATTAGTGTCTCTGCAAACGAAAAGTAATTAGACCTCAGGAGGTTTCTGAGAACTTTGTAACGCTTCTGAAGACACCCCATGGTGTTCCCAGATCACGACGGAACAGTAGGTGGTGGTGATGCCAGGCAGTCCATAGCTGTCAACAGAAAGAATGCTACTGACAAGAGCAGCGCCACAGCTGAGAGGGACCTGGTGATAGAACTGGTGCAGGAGGATGGCTTTCTAGCTTCCTTCCCACCTTCTCTGACCTCTCTCACACCTTCCCGAGGCACACGCACAGGCACCCGCCCAGCACACGGCCGGGATGCGCCCGAAGCCTGAATGAAAAATAAGATTCTTCTCGGGCTGTAAAGGACTCTAACTCATGTTCATTTTTATTTCACTTTTGAATTAGTGTTTATCAAATCCCTCTCCTCTCTTCATCTTCAAAAACCTGGGTAGTAGAGATGGGTATTTTTTAAAAAACTCTGCCCACAGCATCTGAAAGCGAATACTTAGAGCAGATGTGCATCTGTCTGTGATGTATCTCATATCAGACTTTGCAACAAACAAAGTGGGCGCTCCGAACTTGAAGGTAATTCTGTGGCTCCGTAATACTGAAATACTTCTTTAAAAAAATCAGTTTGCCTTATAAAGGGTGTTTTGTTTCTGTTACATCTACAACATAAGGTACTAAACTTACAAACTGCACAATGCCCTGCGTGAACATTCATATCTTATCTCCTTCTTCCGTTGGGTCTTTAGGGTACCGGATGTCAGCCCCTCAGTATTGTCCAGAGGAAATCTTTAAAATTATGATGAGGTGTTGGGATTATAAGCCTGAGAACCGCCCCACGTTCAGCGAACTCCAGAAAGAGCTCAGCGTCTTCAAGAAGAAGTTAACATAGTGCCGGGCGGGGCCGGACGCAGCCTTCAGACATCCCGTTCTCTCGTTTGCAATGAGTTTGTACCACGTCACCTGCACCAGTCTGCTAAGGTTATTTTTTTATTAACTGTTTTTTAAAATATGTGCCACTTAAAAAAGAAAAAAAGGGCAAATGCATTTAAGGAACAGACAGTCCTACCAAGGGCTTTATTAGCTCATGATAGCGATCCTGATCCTGCCACTCCAGGCCACTGTCATAGAAAAGCACAGAGCTCACGTGAGGGAGAACAGATGTTTTTCACACCAAGACCGCTGATGCTCCTCAAAGCTTTGCTACTCCAGGCCCTGGTCACGGGCCGCGTCGGTGCCACAGACCTGACTCACTCGGTGCTAGAAGCTGCCCAGGTAACGCCCTGTTTGCAGGACACCTTCCAGCGGAAGCTGGCCCTCTGCTCTGCCAAGGCAAGATTACATTTGTAAACATCGTTTTCTATCAGGAATTATTTGGCCCTCCTGGGTTTGTTTGTGTGTTTGTTTTAATGGCCAGAAATAAGTGCAGTGTAAGAATTGTCACACTCCTGTGTTAGTAGTAAGGTTGTCAGTACCCGCCTCTGTTTGGGCATCAGAAAACCATGCACGGGATGTCCTCAAACAGCACACTCATAGCGTCGAGGCAGCAGCTTTTAAAGGATGCTTTGGAGAGCTGCGACAGCAAGAAGTCAGGACGGGGAGGGTGGTCTGGAGAAAAAGAGCAGCTAGACAGGGGATCAGAGAAGAGATGGAAAACATAAAATGTCTTCCTGTCTAAGCTATGCCTTTACAAACATCAAACACCTTTTATTTTTATGGTCTGAATTCACAAAACAGATTCTAAGAAATGATTTTCAGGAGTTCATAGATAAAGCTTTCTTAATGGCAACAAAAAAATTTTTAGAGAAACTACAAAGCACAAGCCCACAAAACCAACAGCATGCTTTTGGTGAAGTACCTGCACCTCCTCCCAGCATTTAATGCCCTGCACTGGTGCCATTTCCTGAGCTGTCAGAACTTCATGACCCTAGTTCAGAAACACACTCGTGTGCACCTACACACACACTACACGAAGCAAGGCAGGTGTGGATGAAGACAGATGGACACTATTGAGGAAGAAAATCCAGGACAGCCTCCTATCTTCACTTTCCCCCTTTGTGACCCCTCTACTGCTACCTGAAAACCCTTACCTTAGCAGGCAGGTGTGCAAGCACTGTGCTGGAGATGCTTCCTAGGAATACGTAACAGTTACATCTAGGATTCTGTCGAGCTAAACCTTTGCTGCATCCCGGGACCTCACCCCAAGTTCTGTACATAGTCACCGCTCAGGATCGGTGTGGGTGGAGAGATGGTCAGGCTCAGGGGTACATGTGGCTCAGGAGCTGTAATAGTGCTCAGGTGTGTGTCCAGACAAAGCGCACCTCTGTGACTGTTTGGTCCTTGTTTATTGGAAGAGCTTATTTATGGGAAAGAAAATCCCTCCTGTCCTCTTTGGCTGTTTGCTGCCTGTGAATATCACTGCATGGAACTCAAACCCAGCACTCTAAACAGTAGGAAGGATAATACTGAAGAGAAAAATGGCTTGTCTATCATTTCAATCTTCTTGCAAGTTTTGTACACATTTAATGATTACTACATTCAGACTAAAACAAAAGCATAATAAACTTGGCCTCAAAAATATATTGCAATATTCAAGCAATTTTTTAAAAATCAGAACTGTTTTCCCTTCTGTCAGATATTGTAAATAAATGGAACCTTGTTTTGATGGCATACACTGTGATAAATCAGGGCACAGACTTGGGAATTAAGTGCTATGGTCTTCAGGCCCCGGCCAGCCTTCAGTCATTAGAGTAAGGTGGGGACATTTGCACCCTTCACCAGTATTTCTAAGGGAATCTTTCCATAATACTCTTATTTATAGCAACTGGCCTCCCATCACTTAGCAGCTTCACTGCTAAGCTTCAGCAAGGAGAGAGAAGGATGGTTTGGGCTGTAATTTTGTGAACACGACCTGAAGCTTAATCTTTGCATTCTGGTTTGAAGAAGGAATATGGCATTGATATTTCACTCACCCTGGCTGATAGAATTTACAGTTCACATCATAACTCTGTGCTTAAATTAAAACAGCTTTCAAAACACCGTGACATCTGCAGCATTTAAATTCCACTGTATTCTTTGTCCCAGAGCAGGCGGTGGTATAGTTCAGGATTAATAACTCATGGGGAGTCTTTCAGGATCATATCAGTTGTAAAGAATATTAAATTTAATATAGGTACATGCACCAAGAAAAACTTATGCAAGCCATCTTTACTGTTAATTCTCCTGTACTTAAAGCATAATTTATTCATCCCTTCTGTCACTGATAATTATTGGAATTATGTACTCTAGGTAGCTAATCCATAACCAAAATGCACACGTAAGTACTGTTCTGAATTTGCAACTTGATGTAGGAAAAGAAGGCTTCAGAAATGCACAAAATCCCGTGACTTGTAAGAAAACAGTTGTAACCAAAATTGCCACCGGTCTGAATGTAATTAAGCCAGGTTGCAAATCTTTGTGTTGTTAATGGATTTTTCAAGAGGTGCATTTATCACTCCCATACAGTTCCTGTCATAATTTCTTAAATTTATGAATACGAAGGGGGTGGGAGTGTCAGGCAGTCTGAATCTCACCTACATTTTTCTACCTTGAATCACTAAGGAGCCTTTATGAAAAATATTTAGCTAGTTTATCATTTTTCAAGGAAAGAAATCTTTTAATGTCATTAACATTTATTACCAACATGTGAAAACTAAGATTAATTTTGTATTCGAGTAATCAGAGTTTACTTCCAAAAGCCAGGGTATTCCTTCTTTTCCGGGAAAATAATAATAAAAGATTAAGAGGTTTTATTTACACTTTCAAAACTGGAGGCTGTATTTTAGCTGTCCTGCCACTAGGTCCCCAGTAAAAGGCCTCATCTAATCATTTCTCTCTTGTCTCCCAAATATAAGCAATAAAGTTCTTCATTCATAATTCACCATTTTATCACAAATAAGTAGATCAGCACAGACCATGAGCTACTGTTCAGCGTGCATTTCACAATTGTTTTTTCATTTGAGGGTTATTTTAAAAAGAAAAAAAAGAAAAAACGTTTAGTCACCGAAATAGTTTCAGTTTTCTTCAAACCACAATATGGTTTTCTTGTCTATGTTATATTCATGTTTCAGTGTTGCCATATAACTTAATACAAAGTTTGGTTAACACCACTGAAATAACTATGCTTCACAATACTGGTGTGAGATTAAATCAGAAGAAAGTGTTCTAATTATAATAGATGTTACACACTGAGGACCTTCTAGTGGGATAAACATAAAAATTAGAATGCAGCCACAATACATGTCCCACCTTATCCTGCATCCCTGTGAGTCACTAGATATTCTGAGGGTGTCCCGGGAAACCTTGCTTAGTCGATGCTCTTAGTGCACTGTTATGTGGCCTGTGACTGAGAGTAACTGAAAAGAGGTTGTTTGCCTCCGCCCTCTTTATTTTTCCCCACACACTCCCTTGATCACACAGTATTTAAAATGTTTCTTATCAACAAAATTGATTGTCCATGAGCACTGAGTCATGTAGAGACTGGCTTTTGTATTTAGGAGGCCAGAGCTCTCACACAAAACAGAGAATAATGCAAAATAAAAAGAGCAGATAATTGAAAGCCACTTTTCCTTAGGTATTAATATGTTAATTAAATGGAAACAAAGATATTTTTTTTATGAAAATGAATTTATATTACTTTTCCATTATACTATTAAGTTAGCGTGAAAGTTTACCATTAAAATAAAATGTTACCTCTTTTATTACTAACTTTGACTTGCTTATACATGGCAGAATTTTATTAAATATTTTAATTTTATTTATTTTTCTGTTTTGATGAGTTTATATCAAGTGTGAATACTATATTATTTGGGAGCACCTAGAGCTGCATATTCATTTGTGCAAAAGAAAGTAGTCATGTACCAAGATTACCTACTTGAAAGAGATTGGTACAGTCCCATAAAATTCTCCTTTAAAAAATAGTGCCATAATAGCAAAGATGTATAAACTATATGCCTTAGTCATAATTCAATTTAAGGAAATATTTATTACCCCTTGAAAACCATCCTGCTGCCTCATGCTGATTCAAAGATTATATTCTGAACTGTAAGTTTAGACACTAAGACATACTTAACTGCCTAATAAGGACTGAGATTCTTGGGTGGTAGAAAAATCTGCTATTCTGAATTCCTAGTCACTTAAACAGCGGCATGGTAATGAGCACAGGCTTCAGTCCAGGGATCTGAGGCTAGACGTCTGAAGGCAAAGAGGAAAGAACCCGTTATTCCAACACTGGGCAATGCCACCCTATGGAGGGTGTGGAATAATTAAAGTGGAACAAAGACTTGGACGATGTCCCTAGAAAGCCTACGGAAAACAGTGCCACCAAGCCAGATCCTTCCTACAGGAAATTGAAAAGGTTTTGGGGCCAAAAGGAGGAAAGGTGGTCACCTGCCAGCACATGGGCCTTTGCCCGAGTGGACCACACACCTCTTCCCGTGCGTTTGGAGTTTTATGTCCCTGGCTCGGAGATGCTGCTGTGCTGGGCGACATTTGTACTCACTGTCCTGCCCACTAAAGGATTGCGTCAGATGTCTTCAAACCTTTAGAGAGACTACTCAAAGTGTCTTTACGTGTGCATTAGTTATATTTAATATTTCTTAAACCAAGATCACTGATTATTCATACCTTATTGGGAATCTTTGCTTGCAGTGGAGCTTAACCTAGGCTAATCTGAGGAAAGCATGCTCATGCCAGCCCTCGTTCACCTTGTGACTAATGCTAACTAATTGGCTCCTAGAGTTACCCCCACAGGGACCTCACTGTGATGAGCTCTACTCTCAGAAAACATGGAATTAAGCTGGAGGGAGACACCCAGACAGCAGACTAAAGGACATGAAGGGCAGTAACAGTGCCACCCAAAGTGACTCGGAGGCCAACCTCCGACAGGTAAATGCAGCATCAGTAAGGGGAAGCTGATCCTCAGAAGAGGGTTTTGAGGCGCTTCCTGCTGCATGCTTTACGTATTACAAGCCTCTCAAGTCGCTACAACGTTTATTAAAGAGCACTGAATTGGATATTGATTTTCTTTATGATCCCCATAATCTCAGGAGGCGGCCCCTGTGGAATGAGAATTACCCTCGCTCAGTTTTCCTGTAAGGCCTCGGGCAGGACAGTGTTCCGCACACTCCCTGAGCCACGGGACTCCCTGAGCCGCGGGACGCTGAGCAAAGGCACACGCCCGAGGTAGGCAGCAGTGTGGGAAATTTGCTGTGAAAGCTGCTACTTTTTATTTTGTTAAAGAAAAAATATCTTGCAGTGTCTATGCCTGCAGCATGAAGACAGACTTAGCTTTTCTCCATGCCCGCAAACTAGCAAGAGCCCCAGAACAAGAATATTTAGGATTCACTCTGAAGATCCGAATCCTGACTTTCTAAACTATCTCCCCAAACATTACCATGGAGGCCAGCAGGTGTGAGTGTTCTCCAAAGTGAGGAGGTGCCCTACGTGACAGTCAGGACCTGGAGCAGAGGGTTGTAATGTTTTCCCTCAGCTTCATCCATTCACAAGCTCTTCTTAAACATCTGCCATGTCAGGGGCAAGGAGCCTTGCTAGGTGTTCGTTTTTCTGCTTGTTTTTGTTTTGTAGTTTTTTTGGTTTTGGTTTTTTACTTCTGGTTAGTATTTCCTTTTCTCATATTCAGTTTTTGAATCCTTACTTTACCCAAACAGAAAAGCCTTTTATGGTGGGCTTTTATCAGATGGTCTCATAATTGGCTTAGACCAAAGAGCTTCTCCTCAGGTGCTCAGGAGGCCCCTGCCTTCAGAGGAACTCCCAGGCATCCATTGCTAGGCCAACTGCACACCCACACCCACTATGCGAGAGCCCAGGGCAGAAGCAGCGTAGAACACAAAGCCTTGCTGTGGTTTCTGGAGACAGAGGATTAGGTGGCAGATGTGCGTGATGACTGACACTGTCCATAGAGGAGGGAGATTTTCCCAGGCAGAACGGTCGCGGTGAGCTGATGCAGCCTGGGCAGCAGCCTGTTGGCTTGACTGAGTAAGCTCATTGGGTGACCTACCTCCCAAGAAATGTTAAAACACTAACAGTGATTACTGCACCTTATACCCCTGGACATATTCAATGTTTCCATTCCACCCTTTACCATTTTTATTTTTTTCACACCCCTCTTGTCAGAAAATATCTGAAATTGGTATTTCAGTTATGCCACGGTAATGAGTTTTCCCATAGCTTCAGAAAAAATGGGTAGCAAATATGAAGGCCTGAGTTCAAAATAAGCCAGTCAACCTAGATACAAGACTCCAAAGCACCGCTGGGTTAAAACATCAGCTCTTCTCTGCAAGTTCCCCAAAGCAGTGCCCTCCCAAGAAAGCCACCTGCTCCTATTTGTCAAGAACATCTTGACTCTCAGAACCAGCACATTCTAGGCCCCATCCACAGCAGATTCTAAAATGACAGCCTAAGAAGCCAGAGTTCGATCCCTGAAACAGAAACATACCTTACTCCAGTGCGCCCGGGAAGCATCAGTGCAAACGCTCTAACTGGCAGTCCATCTGCTCACAGAAGATGACACCTTATTTGAAAGCTAGGAAAGCTGTCAGTAAGAAATATCAACGTCTGAGCAACACAGGGTAAGTGTAAGATGGCCTGAAAAATAATCCCGGTTCCCGCACTGGAGCAGCAAAACCCTGAGAATGAAAAGTGAGGAAGTGTATGACTCCCAACACCTCATGATTAATTTTTTTTTCATGTAGATCTTGTCAGATAGTACAACCTTGGGGTCTTCTTTTGAGTTGCATGAACAATCTTTATGAAACAAACAAAGCAGAATTCCTCCCAAAGGGGCTTAAATTTCTAAATGCCCTGCATTCAGACCCTTGGGGGTTGAGAGGGAATCTAAATCATTCCTGAGATCCCAGGCGTTCTGGTAGTCTTCGCTAGCTCACTAATCCAATGCTTTTGTTAGTTTGAAACACAGAAGGGAGGAAGAAAAATGCCATATTATGTAGAAATTTTCTTTTCTACTTGGTAGAAATAGACTTGCCTGCCTGCTCTTAAGGAATGCCAGACTGTGGTAAGCAAATGCAGAGGGCCTGGTGCCCAGAGCCGTGCATGCTTCATAGGACTGTAATGTCTTCCCCTCACCCACGTACAGCAGTTCCTACCTATAGACCGTGGGATGGCATAGAGGCCTCTCCCCTGCCCGTCTGATCTGCTTCGCTTCAGCTACAAGCAGAAGTCCAATTCCAACAGCAGTGAACCAATTTGCCCTAATTCCTCCTCGGATGCTAGGCCTTTCACACTGGCCATGTACAGAAAATATACATGCTTTAGTGGAGTTCACTATTTTTGGCTTTAGTGTCAAAGAGATTGATAGGATTCCCCCGATTGCCCATAACAAGTATATCTTATAATCTTAGGATCCTAAATCCAATCCTAGGCTTAGTTTCTGTGCATCAAATCAAAATCAGAGATAAGGATGAACTGGTAGGGAGGGGTCTTGGTTATTTCAAATTCATGACCAAAGTAGCCAAAGACACGAAACCGCCTTTCACGTGATGAGCATCTCACACTTTGTGCACTCAGATACCCACTACCATCCAGTGACATAATCGGACCCTCGCCATGCACCAACGCCTGAACTTTACATGGGCCATTGCTTCATAAAACATTGAGCTTTTTCACTGAATCAACTTCATAAGTCAGACATCTAGAAAGCTTATGTGTAATTTATATTTAAAGGCATTGCATTGGATGGCCTAATTAAGCAACATGAGTGTAGTGGGGGTTGGTGGTGGTGTGGTTCCTGCTAACTTTAACTTCTGGTTTTCTTTGTATTTTTCTTGGTTTGGTCTGATAAGTACCCTAAGACTGGAATTCTCCAAGGCATCCAAACCATACAGCCACATAGGGTTAGAAAAAGCCAGGTAAATACAGGAGAATAAAATAAAGTTGTCCAAGTCCGAAGAACAACACTGACTTCAGGAACCTAAGCAAACTGAAAGCAAGACCCAGTGTACACATGATGCCCAGGCCATTTCCTGGGCAGCCCTGGCCTGAGGCCCTGCTACCTTCCTGGCACAGGCCCACGCAAGTGGCTGCGGGAATGTCATGTTCTGGTTGCTTCCTCTCCTCTTGTTAGAAGATGAGTTTGGGGTGATGGGTGGGCGTGGAGCCTGCCCCGCCTCCCCCCACCCCCACCCCCCCAGGTACAAATGTTCTGTCTATAAGCAACATTTTAAGAAAGCACTCCTGTGGTCTACACAGATTCCTTTTAGCACCAATGTTGTCAGGTTAAAGCACCTTTAGTCTTTTTTGTGATTGCTTTAAAATAATATATTTTGTGAAGGGGATAAAAGAAACACTGGAAATAGGGTGCTTCTTATAAAAAGTCCAAGTGTAAAACATACAAGCAGGGCCTGTGGTGAGTTTCTCTGGCTTGTAAGCAAGTCTGAAAATGAATGGGGCTAAGTAGATAAAGCAGCCCGTTGTCTTTTACCATTTTTAACTCAGATCTGTATTTAACACTTATTTATTTGTTAGTTTTTTTTACATTCAGAAAAAATACACTTTGAACTTTGACTAACATTGTAGAATGTTTTTAAATTGTCTTCTACTTTTTTAAAAGGTGATTTCATCATTTTTGTAAACATTGATCATTTTTGAATAGTTTTCTTTTCCAATGGACCAATTACCACTTACAGTTCTGCGGAAACTTTTTTTACTGTATTCTTATAATAAATGTAAAATATTTGTAGCAAACTGTGCCATGTCTTGGTTAATCTTTGTATCATGTTTATATTTCTCTCCCTTTTCCATGTAAATATACTCTAAGTGGAAGGAATGGAAGAAGAGATTTCCATGGTAACTGGCCTCCTAGGGACGTAATGGTGCATAAAAAATTATTAGCTTTCAGTGTCTCTGTAATTAAGCTTATGAGTTCTGATGATAATGGGTGTGTGTTGCATACAATCACTGCTTCCTCCTTAGAAATCAAAACTGAAATGTTGTTCAAATCTCATTTCTCTGAGTGGATTGGCTGCTTGCCAGGGTCTTTTTTGTTTTGTTTCATAACAGGATTTGTTTCGCTATAACAGAGGGATGTGGGAGAGAAAGGTGGCTGCGAGGGGTGCCTGGAGAGAAGCTGAGAGCTGCTCCCATGCTGCAGTCCTGGGCTGTAGACGGGCCTGACTCTCATACAGGGCTGAGCTGGTCACAGAGCCACACCGGGACTTCTCTTTACCCTTCAGCCAGCAAATCAATAACCTCTCTGAAGCAGCGTGCTGCTATTTACACATGTTTCCATGCATTAAGCCAAGCGCTCTTCTCATCCCTGGTCTTGGATTAGGGGAGTCACCACCCGCCCCCCCCCCCCACCGCCCCTCAAAAACAACGTGCTTACTGTTTGTGGGCCACCCACCAGCTTCTTAGAACAGGCAAAGGAACCCACATGACCCCTGACCTCCCGACTGCAGCACTGACTGGCGCTGCTCCCTGGGCCCTTGGTGAATGCCTTTTCTCGGCAGCTTTGTGGTCTGCCAGGTGGCACCCTCATCTCCAGCAGGTTTGATACCTGACAGTGTCCCAGACTACCGTGTTCTTCCTGACTTCAGTCCATTAGGGCCAGTGCACCCACCAAGACAGCGTGGCTGTTTAAACTGAAACCTGTGCCCCAGGGGTGATGGGCAGGATCTCGGAAAGGGATCTGAAGCCCCATATCTCACGGTCCACCCGCTCCAGCGAGTGCTTTCTTGGGCAGCGTGCTAATGCATGTTGCCTGCAGAAAACATGGATGTAAAACGAGTTTCTATTAAAAGCATCAATGGTCGCTCCTTCCATTAAAAGCTGAGTGAATGAAGTGCTTTTCAAACTCCTTAGACCTGAAAAAACTGGACAGTCCAACACACTTGGGCCAAACTTGTGATGACAGTTGAGCAAGGCAGGCAGTGCTGCTTCCAGAGGCATCGGCCGATGGAACACCTGCCGCTGGGAGCCCAGGCCCTACCCCTGCAGGACTCTCCCTCGTTGGTCAACTGGAACAAACCAGATCCTGTCTAGCTAGAATGGTTGCACCGGCAAAATGAGGTCTGACTAAATAATGACCTCATATTAACCCTTTTCTTTCTTTCTCTTACTCCCACTTAACCCCTCTCCCCCTTTTTCTTTTCAGTGGTCACTTCCCCTTCCTAAAAGCATCTTAATTTCCTCCAGGGAAATGTCCTTGTTTTTATTTAGAGTGGCCCTGGTGGAAAGGTAATTCCAAGTGCCTCCCACTACAGAACCCAAAGAACCCGCATCCTTCTTTCTTGACTGAATGGAATCCTTCTGCTGAGACTGATCTTCAAGGACAGAAGGACCAGCCAGAGGGCATTCCTCTAACAGTGGTCGGCAAATTGTGGCTCTCAAGCCACATGCAGCTCTTTGGCCCCTTGAGTGTGGCTCTTCCTAAGCCTTAGGAGTACCCTACTTAAGTTAATAACAATGTACCTACCTATATAGTTTAAGTTTAAAAAAATTTGGCTCTCAAAAGAAATTTCAATCGTTGTACTGTTGATATTTGGCTCTGTTGACTAATGAGTTTGCCGACCACTGGGCTAGAAGGTTGGAGTAACGCCTGCTTCCTGGCCCTCCAGAGCACCCTTGCTTTCTTTCCATCCCTAAACCCCATTCACTGTCCTCCCATTGCTCTCCAAGTCCCCGCCAGCCTGCCAGCTAATTCCCTCCTCCCTGACGATCCACCGTCCATCTCTGCTGCCCGCAGCCAAAGCCCTGACTGACACACAGGTCTCCCCGGGGAGGCCTCCTCCAGCGTTGAGAGTCTGTGATCAGTGTTCTCGGGGTCATTTTGGAACCCCTGAATGGCAGCACTGTTCAGGATGAGTTCTATTTCTTTGCTTTTTACAGTGTTGCTGTCAGAATTCAGCAAAAAGGAAAACTCCCTCCAGGTTCAATCATCTAATGGGCTGCTGATCATCTAAACTAAGCCTTTTAATATCTCCCAGCTCTGGCCTAGGTAGTTCAGAATTATAAATGTTTCTTTTGCTGTCTCCCTGTGGTAGCAATGGCACCGTAGGATAGTTAAATGATAAGGTCAATGGACTAGAACATTGCGAGAGCTAATTGATCTATCACTGCAATATAAATGCCAGGAATTAATAGAAAAGTAAATGTCACAGAAAGCTGGGGTACTGATCTCAGAAGCTGTTCTCCTTTGGCTCCCCTCTCCCACCTTTCAGGAGGGCTTGATCTTATTCCATATTAACGAGTCTCCCTTTTCTGAAACACACACACACACACACACATTTCCTTTCACGTCTAGGTAAAAGACAATAATTTAAGCTTGTTGGGTTTTCATCCCAAGCTAATTTTCAAGCAGCTCCTGGAAGCCTTCCCTGTGCTTGCAATCCACCCTTGTCCCCCTGCCAAATGCCACGGCCTAATTAGGATGTGGTGAAGCAGAGGGGGCTCTACGGAACACACTTATGATGCGTGTGCCTTATGGAACGGCGTGAGTGGGGGAATGGCAGGATTGGATCACTGGCGTCCCATCAGGCCCACAGTCTTGAGGTTTCTGTCAAAGCCAGTCAAAAACCCAGAAACTGGGGCTTTCCTCTTTCAGAAGTGCACCGGGGAATACCAGTCAGAGATGGAAACATGTTACGGTTGAACCATTACTTTGAATCTCAATCAAATAAGAAGACAGGCAGCCATCTGCCCCAGCAAAATTAACTCCTAAATATCTGTTCACATCAAACTAAATCCAGCCTCTCCTCATGTAGCTCTGATGAATATAGAAGCTCAGAGGAACCAGCAGATTTACAACACCATCCTCCCTTCTTCCCTCATGCTTCTCTCCCATCCTTCCTTCCCTTCTCTCTCACATACACCCTTTCTTGTGGTTTGAAATAAGTCCTATAGTTTCTTTTTTCACCCCAAAGCAGATGTTCCATGAATATAATTATTGATGTATTTTAAATGTATATTCATCAGATGTTATTTTGGGAAGACCAGAAGTCATCCACAAGATTAAACGTAAGGTAAAAGAGGAAAATTATAAATAAAATAAAACCCAATTGTAAAGAACAGAGAAAGAAAACCAAATAGCTGAAATTTGTTAATTATAGCAATTAAGAAATAAATTTCATGGAATTTCCTGACAACGAAAACAAAACAAACAAAAGGAGGAGGAGGAGGAGGAGGAGGAGGAGGAGGAGGAGGAGGAGGAGGAGGAGGAGGAGGAGGAGGAGAAAGTACTTATAAAATAAAAAAAGGTTGAAAATTCATGAGCTAGGCAATCAATTTAAAAGGTTAGGGGGATAAAGGGATTCTAGAACTTTTTCTAAGATGAAACATGAAAGTCGTGGCCGTGGCTCTCAACTGGATGGAATTTTGTCCCCAGTGGACACGCAACAATGTTTGCAGACATTTTTGATTGTCACACTGACATCTAGTAGTAGAGGCCTGGGTGCTGCTAAATAAACATCCTGCAATGCACAGGACAGAATAATCTGGCCCAAAATATCAATGATGCCATGGCTGAGAAACCCTGAGTTATGGGCCTGTCTGAATTTCCTTCCAAGAAAAGGGGACGATTTTCTTTAACTAGATAAATTTTAAAGGGACAATGAAAGACCAAAAAATAAAAATGCTTTTTAATTACTTCCCTAGGTTAACATCTTTGACCTACTGCTTACATAGAAAAACAATATAGAGCAGGGGTCCTCAAACTACGGCCCGCGGGCCACATGCAAATACAAATATTGTATTTGTTCCCGTTTTGTTTTTTTACTTCAAAATAAGATATGTGCAGTGTGCATAGGAATTTGTTCATAGTTTTTTTTAAAACTATAGTCCGGCCCTCCAACGGTCTGAGGGACAGTGAACTGGCCACCTGTTTAAAAAGTTTTAGGACCCCTGATATAGAGGATCAGCAAACCAAGAGTTGGGTTTTTAAAACTATCCTCTGATGAGATTTACCAAGAAAACAAAATAAACCATTTTAGGAATACAAAAGTAGATATCAATAACTAAAAAAAAAAATGGCAGGGACCGGGAAAGTAATAACTAAACACTATGAATTTTATGGTAATACTTTGAAAACAAATAGAATTAAAACAAACAAAATTGACAAATTCCTAGAGAAAATATAACTTGCTAAAGCTGAGAAAATACAGATGACTAATATCAGAAATGAAAGAGAGACAACCCACTGACTCTCTATACATTAAAAGGAAAACAAGGAAAAATAATAGTAACTTTATACCAATAAATTTCCCAACTTAATAAAATCAACAAATTTGTTTAGAGACAAACTACAAATGTTCAGTTAAGAAGAAATAGATAAGCTGAATAGGAATACATTTATTAAATAAAGTGAACCTGCAGTTAGAAAACTTCTCACAAAGAAAACTACAGGCCCAGATGGCTTCACTGATGAATTCTACCTAACATTGTGGGACAAAATAGCAATGGTATTTCATATTTTTCTAGAACATGGGAAGTAGGAAATGCTTCTCAAGACATTTTATGAGACCAGCATTGTGGGGCGCGGCTACAGTGTTTTGGCCAGGCTCAAGCCTCGGACTGATGAAAGGACAGGGTCCTCTCACTGCCGCATGCAAGTCCCAGCTGGACGGGCAGGGCCCTCCCAGCACAATCATAGCCAACGGCTGTGGTTCTAAGCTTGAACCTATGGTCCAAACACATGGCCCCACGTGCCTTGTGATAAAGTTTGGGTGCATGTAGTTAAGTGAGGTTGAAAC